CATATCGAACATTCCGAAACATATTCACCATGTATGCGGCTCACTGTTGCAAATGTGGCGGTATCTTTGTTATCAACACGGATTGTACCTGGTGCAAGCACAAGGAATGCTCAAGCTGCCATTGAATTCGGCCAGTCCCTAGCGGCTATGCTATAGGTGAGGCAACCGGTCGCTATCTGCTGAGATAGACGTTACTAAACAAGATGGTAGTTTCATCCCTTCTGTAGAAGTTCTAGCGAGAGCTCATCTCCAGGAAACGGGTTTGGAAAATACTATTGCGCATAGAGGCGGTCGGCCGTTTTACGGTAGGACATTGGGGATGATCTGTCTCACAAACATTACGACATACTTAATTGGGTTGACTTGGCGTCCTGGCGATGGTGCTGGTGCTGGTGCTGGTACTGGTACTGACGGATGTGTATAAAAAGCAATGGCGCTCCAGGCATTTCTCTATGGCTCGTCGTTATGATCAGGGCTGGTTGGTTTGGATATCTATACCCGTCTCATGCACATAACATTGCTTTGCCTACGGCTCTCATCGTTACGCTAGGGCGTGCGATCATCTACTAATGTAATTAATGGCGAGGAATTTGTATCTTGTCTTACATAGGATGGATGCACGGGCAATTGCGCGTCAATACATACCAATTTCAATACAGATTAAACGGCGATTATTATTCAGAGCTGTAGAAGATACGACGCCTTAAGTAGTCCAAGCGACAATTCGTGGGTACCTGATGTAGGTAGGTATGTACAGAGTATGGCAGCATTCTTGGCGGAATTCTTAAAAATATGTTACTGCCACCTCTCATATTACTTGTGCTGTCTTCATACATTCGACGATCGCCCCCTTCGGGTGCTGCGCTTTAATTAGGCATTAGCCCTGTAATTGGGGATAGCGTACAAGGATTAGGGCGAATAAGAGGCTATTCCCACCTTCATTAAATCCTGAAAAGGAAACAATATTTTCATAATATCACGAAATATTATGAAAATGGATGGAAGTTTGAAAATACTTTTAGAATATATGGGAAGCCTTCCCATTCGGAAGTACTTCGGATCAATCCCGAATTACAGGGCCAATCCCTAATTAAAGCGCAGCACCCTTTAGGGTGCGGTCGTCGAGTATACGCAGACAGCACAAGTATTTACCAATCCAGCGGTATTGGTAGATATAAGATTAGCGAGGTGACATGTGTAAAAAAGAAGTCTACGACAAGCATTCAAGATCTGGTTGTCTGGTCTAAGCCAGATCCTTCTATGTAAACACAGGTGGCACAGCATAAACTAGTGGGATCTTTAACTTGTCAGTCTCACCAATCAGCTTATTACATACGGAATAGAGATCCGGAAAATTGAACAACTCAACAATTATTTCATGGTTTCACATATATAGTTTGCTTCCTTAAATATTCGGTCTCCTATTCACTTCACCTACCTAGAAAGATCGACTCAATTCGACGCTAATAGGTAGACCACTTCGTTAAAGCCGAACTGCTTGGTATGTATTATCCACAATTCTCGGCTGAGACTCCCCCAGCTCGCAAGATGCCGGAGGCCCCTGCTTCTTGGGAGAAAGAAGAAGAAAAAAAGACTGTAGTTAACTAACTCTAATATACTGCAGATAAAGATGGCTCAAAATAGTTCATTCTCAAATAATTCCGCCTGCAGAGAAATCCCATAGTTTATTTAAGAATCAATAGTATAATGACACACTGTCAAAGTCTGTTTGTCTATTAGCTCTGCTCAACTTGTTGGTATAAGCCACGTTGAAGTTTCGTTCATCCCCGGCAGAGTCCACTATTGGATAATTTGAACAATGGGCCATGGACGAATAAGAAGACGAGAGGCATCCAGAATCGGCAGTCGACACAATCTAAAGAGCCCCCTGAGCTACTCATGTAAGGAAGGTCAGGAAGTTTTACAATGGCATTAGCTGCCTCACTGCCTCATCGGCGCATCGGCGTTGCCTTTTATGTGGGTGCAAGCAAACAAAAGGGTAGTTATAAACTCATACTCACGAAATAAGAAATATTCTTGCTGTGATTCATCTTCCTGCATGTAACTAAGTTTTGACGACGTCCGTGAAAGCGAGATTTACTAGGACGAGCTCCTCTTTGTTATAACCAGTCGGCCGTGTTCGATTCTAAGAATATAGCTTGACTATTACAGATTGATTTAAAATCTATCTCCCTCGCTCTCGAAACCATTACACCCATCATGGTAAATATCCATACGAAGTGACAGCAACACATTCTAACGACATCATTAGGTTCGCAGACAAGAATTAACACCAGGGATGGGTGAATATACCTTAGAGTACTCCTTAGAGCACTCTGCGCAACCTATTTCCCCGATGGCGGAGGATGCGGCTTTGGAAATACATGAGTTACCATCACAAGACGGTCTGATAGTCCGAGTACAGCCTCCGAGCAAGCCAAAGGATAATAACCTCCAACATGTCCCCTGTGATATTGTGCTGGTCATAGATGTTTCTGGGAGTATGCAAGCGCCGGCTCCTGCCAAGATGCTTGGAGATGACGGGCAGTTAAGTTCTGAGCATTTCGGCTTATCGATCCTTGACATGGTAAAGCATGCCGCACGTACGATTCTGAGCACGCTAGACGAGAGTGATAGACTTGGTATTGTGACGTTCAGCAGAGAAGCACGGGTAGGTTCCTTACGTGCCAGCGGTGTGTGTCTCTACTAATCGAGATTGGGTCGAGAATAGGTGGTCCAGAAACTGCTGTCCATGACGCCTGAGAATAAAAAGTTAACCCACAAGAACATCGAGGCGATGAGGGCTGACAGCGTAACAAATCTCTGGCACGGAATTCGGGAAGGAGTTAATTTGTTTGACGGAGAGCAGAATACAGGGCGCGTCCCCGCGGTTATGATATTGACGGATGGATTGCCGAATTACATGTACTTCTAAGATACCCCCTCCGCTATGATAGTTTTTACTTATATCGCTCGCAGGTGTCCTGGCCAAGGCTACGTCCATAAGATACGCAGTACCTGGGAAGCTCTTCCGACGACTCTTCATACATTCGGGTTTGGCTACGAGATAAGATCGGGGCTCCTGAAGTCCATTGGAGAGATTGGTGGCGGTAACTATTCTTTCATTCCCGACGCCGGCATGATAGTATGAGTATTTGGTTCGCTTGCTCAACGCTAGCTAATAATATATAGGGGACCGTTTTCGTCCATGCAGTTGCGCATCTTCAGACGACGTACGCAACGGAATGTCGGCTTGAACTTATTAGTCCCAAAGGCACTTGCTTGAGAACGACAGCGGGCAAAGTCATTGACAGGCAGGAACAAGAGGAAGCGGACTTCAACAGACTTGTCATAAAGCTAGGAAACTTACAATACGGCCAGTCTCGAGATATATATCTAGAGAGTGTCGACAGCCAGGGTTGCAGGGCCAGGTTCGGCTCCTCTATGGCGGAAGCTAATATCGCAGGAGAGCTTAGATATTCGCGGATGAGAGTCGCAGAATTCTGTGTCCTGGCTTACAGCGCTACGACTAACGCATACGTCCTGTCCGAGGCTCAAATTGCCTACCACCAGAGCCGATCAATGATATGCGAATTTCTTTCATCCTTATTCCCGCTTCAGAGTGATGGTGAATACGAGACTCGCAAGGAGATCAACCCACAGCGTCACCAGATAGCGTTCCAACGGCTGTTAGCTAATATCCCTGCCGCACACTTTGACGACGAATACAATAGATCTCTAATGGCAGATCTCGTGGGTGACCTCCCGTCCGGTCAAGTAAATTTAGCTCTATCCCGTCAAGAGTATTTCAGTCGATGGGGATGCCACTACTTCTTTAGTCTGTGGAATGCGCACGCGAAGCAGCTGTAAGTGCCCCTTACTGGAAGCTATAAAAAGGACCCCTATTGCCCTCTCACGATGTCTGACAACCCTATCATCTAGGTGCAACTCCTTTAAGGATCCCGGCCCCTTGATGTATAACCAGAACTCGTTCTTCGCCAAATGTAGGGATGCTTTGGATAAAGCCTTCGATACCATACCACCGCCGACACAGTCATGTCCTAGGGTTGCTACAACCAGATACCTGGATATGTCACGGCTCAATTCGAGTTACGCACCTTGTTTCACAGGTTCAAGCAGGGTTACGCTGGCTAGCGGTCGAAAGGTACCTGTTCGTAGCCTACGTAAGGGCTCACACGTGCGCACGCCCGTTGGGAGCAGACGCGTTGCAGCTGTAGTGAAGACGTTCGTCTATAGGATCGCCATGTGCAAAATTGCCGGCCTTGTCATCACGCCTTGGCACCCGATCCGAATAGATAATTTGACCGCCGAATGGGTCTTCCCGGCTGATTTCTTGCTTGGGTTGGAACACGCCCGGATCGTCATTTACTCCGGAGCCATATACTCTGTACTCTTACAGCCGGATTGCGACGCCGAGGCCCATGCCTTGGACATTGGGGGCATTTGGGTGGTCGCGCTCGGCCATGGCGTCGTACGTGGGGACGACGTCCGCGCTCATCAGTTCCTGGGAGATTATGGAAAGGTGGCGAGATCCATTGCAACGTTGCCACAGGGAGCAGACGGGGTTGTGCTGTCCGGTGGGGTGGAAAGACGGGATAGCGACGGATCGGTCAGCGGTTTCAAAAAATATGTGCCATGAATCTGAAGTCCCATAGAATATAAGGGCAGGCTAAGATTCTGGGGGCTAGCCGGCTTGGTATTCACGATGCTCCTGTCCTGAAGCCATTCCTAGGTACCTAGGTAGATAGTGTCAGTTTTGACAGGGTAAAATAAACCGTACCTCGATATCAATATTGTCTGAAATTACCTTGAAAGCACCGAAGGTCCCTAACCAAGGGGCTTTCTCGGGTTCCTCTCAAAATTGCTTGAGGCGACGCCTCTCGAAAGCATAGATGGCTCGCAAAAGTCTGATATGTTAACATAGTCCTTAGATTTATTGCGGTCTCGAAGTTATTCGATACGCCATTAAATTCAAAGCGCCTTAAACCAAGCTCACATTAGGTACTTATCTCTTGAACAAAGATGCCAAGGGACTGCTCTGGAAATAATCCCGGTCCTTCTGCCACCCCTTCAGAATCCAATCCCTCCCAATCCTCATCGCATCGGTAACCTTCTCTAAGGGGAACTGCAGAGGAGCAGTTGGAGCTCGTCTGGTATACCAGCCGATTAGTTGAACTCCCGCGTGGATGGCGGTGCGGAAGGCGAGCTCATCCCCTAGCCCTCCGTACCCTTGGATGAACCCCTCAATCGCGGGCACGGCACCGTCGGTTTGGAAGAAATGTTTCCGCTCGTAGATATCACCGATCATCTGTCCGATATCATATGCGCGATGACCGAACTGGGCAAATTCCCAATCGACAATGAAGAGTTTGGCGGCGCCCGGATGTCCAGTGCTCAGCGACGGGCTGCTTGGGAGTAGGACACTGGCTGTGTTAGTCTTACTTGGGTATTTGCCATGCTGGGAACTGAAAGCAAAAAAGAAGCAATTGCATACTTTCCCGTCCAGAAGTCACCATGTATCAGCCCCCAGTGCTCACCCCCATATCCATCTCCGGATGTCTTTTGAAACTCGTTTGTCGCACTATCTTTGACTTGTTCTAGAGTCGACCGGTGCCCTTCCAGAAGACCGGGAAAATTATTTTCAAGTACATTTAGAAAGCTATCATAGGTGATGGCGTATTTCAACTTCCGCATGGGCTCATTATCGCCGATGGCCTTCAACTCGGTATTTGGGGAAGAGGTCCATATATGGAATGAACGCAACCAGGATCCCACGTCGTAACCGATGGACGCTGCCACCGGCGTCGTGAAGATGCTATTTGCAGTTGGCGACACTAAGATATTCTTTAAATCAACAGCCGCAGGAAAATCCTCCAATACTTGGATATTTACACTGCGGACGAAGAGATAGAGCCGTGGTGCCTTGACGGCCGTCGTGCTAGATGGGAAGTTGTTTAGAGCATGGAGCATAGACTCTTCGTAGAACTAGATACCAGGGGGTTGATTAATTATCAATTATCTCCTTCTTATTAATAGGGACTTTATATAGGGGCAAGAAACACATACAGCACGTGACGGATCTATAGGAAAGTCCTTACTGACGGCGACAAATTCCGTCGAGTGTTTGATGATAACGGTCGTAGTGGTACTTTGGTCCCCGCCATCTGCACGGATAGGATGGGCTAACTTGCCACGAAATACGAAGTTAGTAGTTCCGTTTGTTAGGTGAGTCAACGAAGAGCAAGCATAAGGTGTCCCTGAAAGCTGTCCTAAAACTTTAGAAATGAGTGCGTCTTTCTCTGCTTGGCTAAGAGGCGCCATACTTTCGAAATGCGGATGATATGACCTTTGAACCGTATATAGGAAGTGCAAGTACGATATCTTTTTTTGAATCAGATGTTGTCATTTTAGTGGTTGATGTATTATGTAGGTACGGATAAGCACTAAACAGGGTAGGGCACCCCTGCTTGGGGCTCTTCGAGATATCTTGATCCATCTGGGATGTGATAAAACTATACGTATCAAGTGTTTATATCCAATTATAGAGGCGGTACAATATAACTTTACATAGGGTATAGTAAGGCGGCCCGGCTACGGCCCCACCCCGGGCCCATACCAGAACCACACACCCCCCTTTCCTCTTCATATCACCTCTACCCGGAGGGCGAGCCCCTGTAGACGGAGAGGACTCGGACAAATAGGTTTTCTCCTAATTAGGTACCTACCTTATAAACGTACCGAATACCGGGCAGATAAGGCCTTAGCTATATCAAATAGGTGTACTGGTACATTGATATTAACAATTCAATTACCATAATTTAAGTGCGTCAGTAGGCTCTGATATGCTTATTCCTCGTGATAAGCGTAATGATGTTTACACCGTCTATTTCGCCTTATAAAAGGGATAGACGTCTAATGAAATTTATATACGCCTATTACGATGGATAATATCGTTATGGTTTTGCCATATACAACTTATCATTTACCTATAGTAGTATCTTACATTTGGATTCTACCCAAAAATCATCTCCTCAAAGGCAAGTGGTCCTTTTACATATCCAGCTTATCCGCCTTTCACTCTCTATTAATCGTCACCGGTTTCCACTCAAGCCCGTAGATAGTCCCATACTTGGCCTGGTTGATATAACCCTGATAAACGTCTATTTTAGATACCAATCTAGATATGCAATACGGACCAACCTCCAACCGAGACTGCATTGATACTGTGGAGGCTGGCCGAATGGCCAAACACCGAATGGTCTTGTCCTTCAAGATCGCACCTTCACTTGGGACAACTTACCACTTGACCGGCAGAACCTTTATGAACTGCCCTACGTAATAGATATTATAAATACACCGCCTACTTGAACAATTCCTTATAGTGATTCATGCCTCTACATTGAGATAGCGAATAGTATCTACGTATTAAAACAATGCTACGGTTCATATCTTGGACTGAAACACCTACCGTGGATGAATTCTGAGTACTAAATAGATCCGCACATGGATTAATTTAGTATGATGGTCCCCCGTGAGTCATGGTCATATATGGGCTGATGGGCTAATCCAGTCCCGACTCATACTTATTTGGGTAAGTATTCCGAGTACACGATGCAAAAAGTCGCCGAGGTAACATACTAAAAGATATTGATATGTAAGCATTGTCCCAAGATGCTAATATAAGCATTGATTGCGTAGGATATTGGTCTATAAAACCTGATCGCTAAGTTTGAGACTTTACTCTCTATCACTGGGCAGGCAGCATCAGCACTAAGTCACAACACTCATCCCTCCTAAATCTTTTCCACTCAAAGTATTGTTCATCTGAACTTCTGTACAATAAAAATGTCCGAGGATCAAAAACCCCGAATTCTGATTATCGGCGCTGGGGCCATGGGAATTCTCACCGGTTATCACCTTAGTCTCGCTGGAGCCGACGTGACATTCCTCATCCGCCCACATCGCGCCAAGGCGTTGGATAATCCTCAGATACTCTATTGCTACGACGATAACAAGTTGAAGGAGTATAAGCGATACAACTACATTGTGAACCCGTCGCTTATACTTGGATCGAACTATGACTACATTGTTATTGCACTTGATGGTGCCTCTTTGAGGAACGAGGCAGGTGTAGACTTGGTGAAGACGATAGGCGATGCTGCACGAGGGACTAATACGAAAGTCGTCCTTGGTTCCATATTCTTTGACTTACGCACTTGGTTCCTTCAGGTCTCAGGACTAGCGGGCGAACAAGTAACTAACGGACATCTCGAGATTCATGCCTACTCCACGAAGGCGTTGACTCTGCCAGTAGAGGCCCCGACAGATCCAGAACTGATTGCAAAGGCCGACTTTGCCTACACGGACAAGCTGGACGACGGGTTCACCGTCGACGATAGCTCCCCTGCCGTTGCAAATGGATTTGCAGAGATATTCAATGCAAGCGGGATTTCACGCTGTGCTGTCAAGCCGGCACTAGAATGCGCCGTTTCCATAAATCCTCTGTTCCCCGTCTTTGCGGCATGTGAATTGATGGGCTGGCCTAAATTGAAAGACATCGATAGAGAGGAACTATGGAGTTCTGTAGTCGCATCAGTGAGGGAAATCCAGGAGCTCAACGTCCATGGGGAGCTGGGAAAGCAGGCCGCTAAAATGACGACTGAAGCTGGACTTGCTGCTCCCCTGGCGGCGTGGGAGAAGCAGATGCTTCCGTTCGACTTACAAGCGTTCAACCGCTACCATCATGGCGAGAAATTAAGGGCCCAGGGTCGGGAACATTTGAAACTTTGTATTTCCTATGGTGCAGCCGAGGGGAAGCCAATGCCGGCACTGAAAGACCTGCTACGGCGTGTTCAGGAACACGAAGTGGTCGTGGTCTAATGAAGCGAACAGGAAATTCTCTTATATTACAGGATTATAAAAGTATTAAGTAGTTACTTTCGATGTTATACCGTAATCACATAGGTACCTGTAGTTATATTCACGTCTTGGCTTGAGATACAACGGATGGTAGGCATGATGTTCTCCTGTTTACGGGCGAATCTTTCTTATCCCGATCGCCTCATGTAGAGTCCGAAGACCTAAAAAGGGTCGAGCAGAAATCTTCAAGATGATAGAGTGATAAATGGCATACTAGCCAGGTCTTCCATTTAATATCAATTATGGCTATTGGCGTAATCTTGGATACGATAAAGGCTGTAGGAAGACGCGTAGCCAAGTAGGACAAGACGGCCCCTGGCATAAAGGGGATTCGTTTCTACATACCTACCTACGTATACCGCCTCGCTATTACTATACACAGATACCACAACATAAGCTGTAAGGTGTTTATTGCAAACCGGCACATGTCGTGAAACCCAAGATAAAATTTTGATTTGCGCGATCGATTGTTGCTTTTAGTGGTTATAGGTATCAACCAATCTATATAACGCAGTGTGATAACCGAGGTATGGCTTAGTATATGAGGATGATTTTATCTTAAAGGATGTGAAATTATAAAAGCCTTCGTCACGTACCTAAGGTATGCACTTTGTTTCTCCCACTAAGAGTTCCGATATTAAATATTCTGCACGTTAGGCTCCGTTTATTTGCAGGTAAATACCTCTTATCCTGCCTGCTGCGACCTATATATATATAAATTAAAACATGGAAGTAAGCTAAATTCCGGGCAGTTTATGGTTTGGAATTGGAACTGTTCTGATTAAACATGAGTAACACTCGTTTTAGCAATCTATGTGTCTTGTGGGGATGCAAGTCAATTATTGCGGCACCGTGTAGACTATTGCAGCTGTATTTGCCGGGGCTGTCGCCCGTGAAGTCTGGGTTCTGATTATAGACAGACGTGGATATAGGGAAACGGTTAGACCTGAGGAGCTGGGGCCTGCTTAGAGTGAATATACGGCCTGACTTCGATTTGCGCTATGTAGTTCCAATGGGGTGGATGGCGGTCGGAAGATGGATATAAAATTATTATATCCATATCAAAACTCACATGTAGTAGTGAAGTAAATCCTCCTATGAATTTTGCGGTGACTTCGGGTGGTTATACCATCTGAGATTACGACTCCTTGCTCCTGTTTAGGTTGAACTGATCGACTAGCCTGGATCGCGAGACCTAACTGCTGCTAATAAGCGTCTATCTTCGAGAGTAATAAATGGCATACAATACATATCTTCCATCCGATCTCAGGTATAGCCATTGGCGTGATATCGGATATGACGGACTTCCATAGCCATATCTTCGTTGCCCTAATCACCATACCATAGTCTCTTGTCTTGAGCGGGGATATTTCGCTGATATAAACCCAACATAAGAGAACCAACGAGAGATAATATGCAGCAGTATACGGATAGATTAGTGCAATTGTTCCTTTGGCAGACAGTGACCCGGCTCCATTCCCCGGCTGTAGGAGGAGGTGTAGCTAAGACAGCCCTTGACGTAAATAGGAGCACTCCCATCTGGAGCCGCTTCCTAGGTAAGGTTTATGAATTTTCTTCAACAGGCTATAAGAAATATAATCGAAATAAAAGGTCAATAGGGGGAGTGGGGAGGGGAATGATAGAGTCTAGACAACTAGGTACTAGGAATCCCTCTACTCACGAGAAACATCTGGAAGCACATTTAGGTTTATATCCTAAGCGCGTATCATATGACTCCTCAACTCACCATTATACCACAGAAGCCTTCCGTGGCACGCTTGATAACAAACACGAGAGCAACATTTGGTATCACCCCAACCCCGAGAACCGCAACTACGCGTCCACAATAAACCGTTCCCAGAGTTGGCCTCGAAGCTATAACTTGTAGTAACCTCCTAGCAAGAATGAATAATCCGCAATACCTACCTGTCCGGCCAGCTATTAGGGTGTGGTTTCTCAACCCTTTCATGACCCTCTCAAGATCGAGTCATAGTTACTCCCGCCGTTTACCCGCGCTTGGTTGAATTTCTTCACTTTGACCTATTGATGAGATGATTAGCGTTACGTTCGTATAGAGTTTTTAAAACAAATGAAAAGATGCTTGGAGTAATAACTTACATTCAGAGCACTGGGCAGAAATCACATTGCGTCAACATCACTTTCTGACCATCGCAATGCTATGTTTTAATTAGACAGTCAGATTCCCCTTGTCCGTACCAGTTCTAAGTTGGTTGTTAACCGCACGCCGGATGGCCGAAACCTGCCAAAAGGTAGCGAACGGAGACCTCTTACCAATGAACTTGGTAACAAGAAGCGGTAGTAAGGAGCCAAAGAAGACCCCAGCATTGAGAGGTACAACGACATCCAATGGAACACAGGAACATTCAATTGCTGATGTGGCCAAATTGAACTCTTGCTCACAATTACCCAACATGACCCCTCCGCCGGCTATACCCCGTATCGAAGCCAAATAAGACTGAACCGATACTGGTAGCTACCGACATTCCAAAGGCCACCGTATGTGTCTTTATCCGTAGCGTAATTAGACCACTGCCTCGCTCACCAAATCAACTTAGTGTGGGACTATATCTTAAACAATTAGATTGCAACCTGCCTGAGATATTTGTGAAATTACTGGGCTGGGTTGATTGGTAATAATATCTCTTCGTGTTCCTAACCCACCTTATATGAAGACTACGTAGGAGGCGATTATGATAAAATTAGTTGGATAAATAATCGAACAAGAAAAGGGCCTTTTGTGACGTTATTAAGTTATTATTTCGTTCAACTCGCTGGTTTATAAAGCAACATAGTCCGAAGACTTTGTTTACTCCCCATGTCGATTGTTGAGAATTACCTACTTAGGTATAAGGGGGTAGGCCTGTCGTATATCGGCACCCGTATCGTGCATTGAGATACTCACCTATCCCCTCGTAAGGGTGCCAAAGCAACCGACCAAATAAGAATATATCTGGTTTAGATCTGGTAACTATTCCAATAGCATTGACAAAACTAGACCTCGAGGAAATGAGCCGAGAACCGGCTCGCTTTTGACTGTCGCGAATAGCATGATGTATACGGGCATTGTTGGCTGCGCGCGACAATAAGGCAACCGTAAGCAAGCCTTCAATCAATAAAAGGCTTATATAGGCTAAGGCCATACGAGAGTCTGAACTCTTGTTAAACCAGATGAGTTTCGGATAACGTACTGCAAAGGAAGTATTCCCTTTCATTAAACCGATAACGTAGAGAAACATTTTGAATTAAATTTAGTAAAGCTGTAAGCAACAAATCCCTCGAAAGGCTGCGTATTATTGAGAGCTAGGATTCTTTGTTCGAGACTCGAGGAGAGGAGAGACGTACTAACCTCATGTCAGAAACTTATCTTAATGGTATTGTGCTTTCTATGCTGTAATATTACTTTTATGCGTATTGCCAGCGCGTTTTTCGCAAAGCCATTTGTATGTTTTTAGTATCTTTCAATGGGGGCTTGGTCACGAAGCCGGTATTCCTTTTCAGCTCACCCCCCGTGGGCGCCGAGCAATAACCTAGGCAAGTTCAATCAACTTCTTTCTAATTCTAAGATATTCTGCCTGGTTTCTACTTCTATTTTTTTCTTTTTTGAACCAGTGTGGATTAGGGCTAACCTGTCTGGATCTGGTGACTGCATCACAGTAGCCTTAAGGGTTGAGGGCCTTCATTCTATGCGTAAAACGTGGGGGGAATTTCAAGCGATTGGTCATTTCTATTTCCAATATATTGTGCTGTTAGGTCTTTATACAGCTGTGGAGAATGCGGACACAAATACAGACATAGTGGTTTGATATCTTGACCAGCGACTTGTATTGGAGCAGCGTCAAGTCAGCCGTACGCCTTGACATGTTGATCTGCGTATTCCGAGTTGAACCAACTAGCTGTGGCCTTCCACAGCTTTGTCTCGGTCTTTGTGTTAATTTTGCGGCAATAAGCTGTGGTGCTGTACCATCTTGGGCAGATTTCCAGGGGTAAATGTAGAACCTTGATGGCCAGCGCCATGAATTCTTAAACCCCGACAGTTTCCTCATCTGTCCTCCATCATCTATCTCACTCCCCTCACAAATAGGATAATTTCAATCGATATGAAAAAAAAAAATCATTCTGTTATCTCCAGAAAAAGGAGTGTTCTTACTCTCGAAGTGTTAGTGACACCACCAACAAGCCGTCTTCGGGATCCTCGCGCGACAACAACGTAAGAAAAAGAATACGACCGAGAAAACGTTACATGGCCTTGCCACATGCGAATTAAACAGCCCGAAACAGTTCCAGCTTCTGGGTTCTGACCTAGTCCATCCCACATCGACATCTTTAAGCCGGCCCTTTCCAGCTATCTACAGGCCCCCTAAAAAAAAAATCCCGCGTTCTCAGTCAGGCTAGAATCAGCAGTTTTAGCTAAATGTTTTGAATAATACGATATATCTTGCCGCCCGGATTTGCCGTGTGACTATGGGCGGGATGCCGCCAGGAGCCAGTGGACCTTGTGATCCAAGATGACTGACTCAAACTAGGAAACCCACGATAGCACACTGTGTGCATGATAGAACGGCCCGAGAAAGTCTGCATATCTTATACATGCTAGCCTAGACGACTCCTATACCCTCTTAAGAAACGGTAGTCTTATGGACCCCCTCCCCGTTTTGTTCGGACTCTCACAGCAGAGGCGCCCACGGATCCATATCGAAGAAACCTCTCGGCTCCGACGAGTTTATCGATCATATACAAAGACGGCACCAGTGCTAGGATTAGGTAGAGTTAAGCTATATACCCACTCTCCGTGAAAATAGCGACTGGAAGTATTATCCTGTAACTATGACAATTTCGAGTATTATATCGGAGCCCACCCAGTAAAACTGATCAATACGGTAGGGGTTATAGCATAATTCAATGATTTAAGAGGAATTAATAAAGCAATATTAAAATATCCCATTTGAATACTTGATCTTCTTAATTCAAGCAGTCTTCGAAATTGTAAGTGCAACTGAAGGTTGCGAGAAGGTTGCTAAAGAGTCTGTAACTATAAGATACGAAATCTCTCGCCTCAGTTAATTCAAGTAAATTGCCACGTTTTACGACGTGAAGTTATAAGATCGTAGATTATAACGATTATTCAATATCTAAAGCACGTGTTTCCATAGGTAGATATTCTTCCTTTTAATATCGTGGTACTAAGAGTTTATAATAATCCATCACTTCAAAAAGGATGATTGGGACTGAGCATCTTTATCAAACGTGTACGAATGCTTCATTAAAATATTTAAACGTCAGTTTCCAACTTCC